ATTCCCCTGCTGGCTACCTTCCCCAAAGAATTTTAAAAAATCATACCACAGTGATATATGTGCACCCATGTTCATAGCAGCACAGTTTGTAATAGCTAAACCTTGGAAACAGCCCAAATGCCCATCAACTGAAGACTGGATAAAGAAAATGTGGTTTTTTTAATAAAATGGAGTACTGCTCAGCCATAAAAATGAAATTTTAGAGACATTTATAGCTAAATGGATGCACATTGAGGCGATACTCTTAAGTGAAATAAAAATAAATAGGACACACATGTGTAAATACCAAATAGTTTCTCTAGTAAGAGAAACTGAAAGTGTAAATAAGGACTAAAAGGCATAACAGATAACGTGAAATAGGAAGAAAAGGGGCAAAGGGGATAAGGAAGTGGGAGGGGTAGAGGAACGGAAAGAAGGGAATGGAATTAATATGAGAAAATGAAAAAACGAAAGTCTTTGTAAATAGGGAGGGATGGAGGGGTTGAAAGGAGGTCAGGGGAAGGGGTAAAAATAAGAACCAAGAGATACTATGTAGTGGTGCAAATTTCCAATGATGAATGTCATTATATTGTATACCTAAAATGTACCAATAAAATAAAATTTTTAAAAAAGTGATATCAAGGCCAGGGATTTAGCTCAGTGGGTCCATGCCTACCTCACAAGCACAAGGTCCTGAGTTCTATCCCCAGTACAAAAAAAAGATATCAAAAGCATGGTGGTGTGTGTGTGTGTGTGTGTGTGTGTGTGTGTGTGTGTTTCTGTACTGGGGACTGCACTCAGACAGTGCAAAGGTACATCCTTTGTCCTTTTTATTTTATATTGAGATAGGGTCTCAAAGTTGCCCAGGCTGACTTCAAACTCAGATCCTCCTATCCTTGCCTCCTGAGCAACTGGGATTACAGGTGTGTTCCACTGTACCCAGATTTACTGTGTTTTTAAAAAAGTATTACCTCTCAGGTATTTTTAAAGACTATTTTTGGTTCATCATTAAATTTCTAACTATGGGCTGAGAGTGTATAGCTCAGTTGGTGAGAGCTTGCCTACCATGTCCAAGGCCCTGGGTTGGGTCCTCAGCACTGCAAAGAAAAAAAAAAATCTAATTCTATTTCAAAATAATTATTTGCTCATTATACTAAGTAAAAAGCGTTCCACTGTGTTTCACAAGTTTAACAATTACTGTAGTTGGGGCCAGGGATTTAGCTCAGTGGTTTTGCTGCCTGCTGCGCAAGCGCAAGGACCTGAGTTCAATCCCTGGTACCAAAAAAAAAAAAAAATTACTGTAATTATTTTCTAGGTGCTTGTTACATTTTTCATTTTACTTATGTAACAAATAATCATTTCATAGGAAAAAAAACATGGAAGTATATGGAAGAAAATATAAAAATCACTCTTTATTCCTCTTACACCATCTATACACCCAAAACCAACACATGTACATACATACTTTCTCTCTCCAGAGGCAACACTGTTAGCAAATTGGTGTTTTTCTCACTAAACTTTTCTTCGTGTGATTATTTAGCAGTATATGTACCAGTCACATTTCTAGTTTTTTTTTTTAAAGTTAATGGTCTTTTTATTGGGGGGAAGAAAAGACTAGCATTTACAACTTAGAATAGATGTAAATTGTAATTTCTCAAACAGCAGTGTTGATGGTTGTGCTAAAGTCCACAGCCACAGCCTACTCTGCCAGCTCCAAGTCATGGTTCAGAAGGTTTTAAAAACACAGTCCAAAGATGCTCCCTTGTAAAAGATTTCTTATTAAAAATTGTTGTGAGTGTGACAGTCTGAAACCCATTTCACTAAGTACAATGCAGACATTGCTAAACCAGCATATCGGGCATGCCACCACAGTGTCACTGTCACCATGGGTCGGAGCACAGGCAAGTTACAAGAGGACTGTCCAGCTACTGGGCTACATCGCAACAGTTTATCCTTCACCCATTCTCTGTGCATCATCCTGAGGTAAACCGATTTTAAATGTGTTTGTTTTCAGTAAACCAGCCATGACAATTTATACGAACAAATTGAACTCGAACCCATCTGAGTAGGTTTTGAATTTGTTTTTCATTTTTCGATTTTAATACAAATGCTTGACTGTGCTCAATTGTCAAGCTGCACACATGAAAAACTGGCCAGCCCAAACAGTGTATTAATTATTAGCAAATGGAACTTTACGGAGTCCATTAAGTGCTTCCTTATCATTAAGATAGTACAAGTAGTTATATTGTAAAACTGATGTGTAGCTTGATCTTTAGGGGACAGGGCCACCAACCAATACACGCAGATTTTGTGTGTGTGGACAGAAGGTACTTTTGACATTCAGTTTTGCTATATAGAAACAGAATGAAAAAATGAACTTTTTTTTTCTTTTTTCTTTTTTTCCAAGAGATAAATAAAAGATTCAATTTGATTCTTCTAGAGGGGGGAAAATGTAGTTGAAAGTAGGTCTTCATTTTGCAGGCATCATCTGTACGAATTCTTCATAGTTGACTTGTCCGTCTCCATCAATATCTGTTTCTCTGATCATTTCAACTATTTCTTCATCTGTTAGTTTTTCTCCTAAGTTTTTCATGATGTGACATAGCTCTGCTGCACTGATGTAACTGTTTCCATCCTTGTCAAAGACTCGGAATGCGTCACGGATTTCTTCTTCACTATCCGTATCTTTCATTTTTCTAGCCTTCATAGTCAAAAATTTTGAGAAGTCAATAGTGCCATTACCATCAGCACCCACTTCACTGATCATATCCCGCAGTTCCGCTTCTGTTGGGTTTTGACCCAGTGACCTCATGACAGTTCCTAGTTCCTTTGTTGTGATGGTGCCATCACCATCTTTATCAAATAGGGAGAAAGCTTCCTTGAATTCAGCAATCTGTTCTTCAGTCAGCTGATCAGCCATGGTGCGAGCAAAGGGAGGAAGAGCCGAGAGAGAGAGGGTGGATGCACCAGCGCAAGGGCTGCGCTGGCGGGGCTGCCTCCGCTGCAACTGCTGCTGAGGCGCGGTGTGCGCTCTGGGTGTGCTGCCGCCGCCGCCCAATTATAGTTGTTTAAAAACATAAATTATGATTTCTTCTTTCCCCTCACTGTGTTCTGGAGTGCCTTCTCTGTATGTTGATCTAGTTCAGTGATGGTGAACCTTTTAGAGCTTTCAGTGATACAAACTGTGGCATATATGCCATAGGTTGCCACCACTGACCTAGTCCGTTCTGTTTCTCCCTCCTTCTCTCTCTAGTTGCTAGGCATAGAATCTAGGGCACACTAGGCAAGCACTCTACCACTACATCACCTAATTCTCCTTTAATAGCTCTATAGTGGGCAGATGTGGTGGCACACACCCGTAATCCCAGCTACTTGGAAGGCCGAGGCAGGAGGTTCACAAATTGAGGGGCTAGTCTAGGAAACTTATCAAGAAGCTGCCTCAAAAAAAAAAAAAAAAAAAAAAGCTGGGGGCGTAGCCCAGTTGTAGAGCACTTGCCTAGAATGTGTAAGGCCCTGGGTTCAATGCTCAGTACCACCAAAAGAAAAAAACAGCAGTACAGTACTCTATAATTTGGACATACTGCAAAATATTTAATTACTATATTACTATATATGTTAAATATTTCACAATTACAGACAATACTACATCCTTTTAATACATATCTTCTACTAGCAGTGTTTATTTATTTATTTTGTGGTACCGGGGGATCAAACTCAGGATTTTGCAATTGCTAGGCAGGTATCGGCACCACTGAGCTGCATCCCCAGCCCTAGCAGTGTTTAAAAAGTGCCTTCATCCTTCTTTCCTTTAGGCACACTGGATATTTTCAATTATTTAAATATTATACAGTGTTTTGTTTGTTTTCTGAGACAAGGTCTCACTATATAGTTCAGTTTGGCCTTCACCTCACCAACTATCCAACACTGCCTCCAACTCACAGTGATCCTCCTGCCTCAGCCTTCCAAGTGCTGGGATTATAGGCATGCCCCACCATGCCTGGCTTTAGATATTATAAAGTTTTTATTGGCCTTTATGTATTTCTTCTATTTAATCCCAGTTTTTATAATTTGACTAATTCTTAACCAGACAAGGTGGTGCATGCCTATAGTCCCAGCACTTGGGAGGCTGAGGCAGGAAGATCACTGTGAGTTCAAGGCCAGCCTGAACTACACAGTGAGACTCTGTCTCAAAATAATAGTAATAATTTGACTAATTCTTTTGGGTCATTTGTGTTTTTTAATAATTTGTAGAATCTCTATTTTAGGTATTAACCCTTATTGTGCTATATACTACAAATATTTTTCTTTATATTATTTATTTATTTATTTATTGGTGGTACTGGAGATTGAATCCAGGCCCTTTGCACTAAGGTACATCCCCACCCACACTTCTTTTTAAAATTTTTAGAAATTAGGTCTCTCTGTGTTGTCCAGAATAGGCTCAAAGGGCAGGGGATTTAGCTCAGTGGTTCCACCACCTGCCTCGAAAGCACAAGGTCCTGAGTTCAATACTTGGTACCAAAAAAAGGGGGGGATTTAGCTCAGTGGTTCCAGCGTCTGCCGCACAAGTGCAAGGTCCTGAGTTCAATCCTCAGTACCAAAAAACAAAACAAAACAGAATAGGCTCAAACTTGTGATCCATCTCAGCCTCCCAGAATGCTGGTATTACAGGGTTACAGGCACCACCATGACTATTTGTTTTTTAACTTAATAATGTAATACCTCTATTTTTGTTTTGTTTTAGTTTTTGTTTTTTGAGACAAGATCTCAATATGTAGTTCAGGTGGCCTTGAACTCAAGGCAATCCTCCTGCATCAGCCTCTCAAGTGCTGGAATTACAAGTGTGCACCACCATGCCCAGCTGATGTACAGTTTTGTTTTAACATACACACATCTATTGGTCCTTTTTTATATGACATCTGGGTTTTATGCCTTCTTTGTGAAAGTTTTCTCTAACCTATGAATTACAAAAATATTTCTTTCAAATGCATTTATGGTATAGTGTTTAACCTTTAACATATCTAAAATTTAATTTTTATGTTTGTTGTGTGGTAGAGTATTATATTAGCTTTTTAGGGGTGCCCTGACAAACTACCATAGGTTGGGTAGTTCATAACAATAGAAATTTCTCAAAGTTTTGGAAATAAGTCTGAAATCAACATGTTGGAGGGTTGGTCCCTGATTAGAAGCCTCTGAAGGAGAGACCATTTCATACCTTTCCCTTGTTTCCTGGTAGCTACCAGCAATCCTTGGTCTCTCTTTCTCTCTCTCTCTCTCTCTCTCTCTCTCTCTGACAGAGCTTTTCTATGTAGTAGTACAGGCTGACCTTGAACTCAAGATGATCCTCTTGCCTCAGGCTTCTGAGTGCTGGGATTATAGACATGTGCCACCATGTCTGACCAATTCTTGGCATCTTTTTTTTCTTAAAATGTAAGTATGGGTATATTTGTTTCTCTCAAATGCATACAAGACAATAATTACACAACAACAAATCTTTTATTCAACAATTATTTGATTCATAAGCATTTGAAATTTTCATAATTTCACATCAGTACCCTTATATTTTTAAATACATTAAGTAAAAAATCCCCCAAACAACCAATTTTTATATTCTTATTTATCCTTTTATACATTCAAGCTCAAACTTTAAAAAGTTACATTATGCCTGCCTGGCAAGTGCAAGGTCCTGAGTTCAATTCCTGGTACCAGAAAATAAAAAAGTTACAAACTGAATTTTTTTTTTTTTTTGGTACCGGGGATCGAACTTGGGTCCTTGCGCTTGGGAGGCAGGTGCCAGAACCACTGAGCTAAATCCGCAGCCCATACAAACTGAATATTATAAAGTGTACATTTTTTTTTGGTACCGGGGATTGAACTCTGGACCTTGCACTTGTGAGGCAGGCACCAGAACCACAGAGCTAAATTCCCAGCCCCAAACTGAACATTATATAGAACATATAATCATGTTTAAAAACTTCAGGTTTTAAAATCACTGCTCCCCCTATATGATCTGGAAAATTTCTAACTGACAAGCACAGTCATAGGTGGTAAAGTAAACTGAAGGAGAAAAAAGAAAACAGAGACAGACACATATGCTATCTTAGTATTTTACTAAGCCTGTCAGTTTAATTAATTAATTAATTTGTTTATTTATTTATTTGATACTGGGGATCAAACTTGGAACCTTGTGCTTGCAAGGCAGGTGCCAGAACCACTGGGCTAAATCCCCGACCCTAAGCCTGTCAATTTAAAATGGTGATGTCGGGGGCTGGAGATTTAGCTCAGTGGTTCCAGCACCTGCTGTTCAAGCTCAAGGTCCTGAGTTTGATCCCTGGTACCAAAAAAATCCAAAAAAACGGTGATGTCATGAGAAACAACAGTTCAGGTTTAACATGAAGAATGGAGTTTGCATCACAGTTTAAGACATGCATTTCAAGTAATTTCCTATTTGATCTGAACTCACTGCAGCATAACCGATGCCAAAAGGGAATATTTATTTTCTTCCATACATTTGCTCAATGTCCACCTAGTTATGCATTTAAACTCTTTGTATTTCAACTTGAAGGCATCTATCACCAGACAAGTTTCAGGGGTCCACAATTCAGGGCTCAAACGAATTTTTACTGGGATTTCATCTTCCAGACTTGCTGGAATAACACTTTAAGGACCTTGTTTTCTATTTCACTACTGTTACACAGCTCCTCCCAAGTCCTTGAAGTCCTTTCCTTCAAGCTAGTTTTGTTACTTCCTTTTGATTGCACACAAGTCCAATGTTGTAAGAATGATAACTGTTTGCATATGCACAAATGTTATCAATTATCGGGAGATTCCGTAGAGCTGCCTCTACTTTCCGAAGAGAAACACACTCTCTGGCCTCTACAGTTTTACAAGGTCCTTCTTCTGATCAATAATCTTCAAACAACCACCAGGGTCAAACTTTCCAGTATCTCCAATGCAGAGCCACCTCTGCCCATTTTCATCTTCAAAAAAGTCAGCTTTTGCTTATTGTTTTTACTTCATTTTTGTAGTATCCCATTGTCACATTTTGGCCACCAATAAGAATTTCACCCCTGGGGTGTGGTTTACCAGTATTAAAGTTTCCACCTCCCTCCCAGTTCTTTGATTTCACAGCAAACGAATGGTGCCCCAACTCTCCTAGTATTGTAGTCCCACACTTCCGTGATTGTTCCAGCCCCTATTGATTCAGTGAAGCCATAGCCCTGAACCACGGAACAGCAGAAAGAGATGTTCATGAACCTCTGTGTGCCCACAGAGAGCAGAGCGCCACCACATGGTAAAAGGTGAATGTTTTCCTACAAGCTTCACATTTTCTGGAAAACAAAGTGGTCACACAGTGGGGTACTACACCCTTTTGAAATTTGCTCCATTTTATAGTTACAGACCAGAATAAACAAATTACATTGAAAACTATTATTTCATTCACTATCTTCATGACATTTTTGTAGATCCAATCCATGATTTCCAGAACAGCTGCCATCAGTGTTGGTTTCAACATGGAGGTATCCTCTTTGCTTCCTTTTATTATGTTTGAAGACTGATCTGCTAAAGTCTGTGGTGAAGAGTAGCCAGTGCAGGATCCATGAGAAAGACAAGCAAGCTCAGGACTTAACTCTAGAACATGGGCCAGGGGCAAATATCCAATATGTACATCTTCTTCTCTCAGTTTTGGAATCCTTGCCATCCTAGTTATCCCAGCAATGATGTTACTGTGTGAGATCAGGACTCCTTTGGGAATTCCCATGGATCCACTTGTGCACATGATTACTGCAATATCTGAGGGCAACAGTTTGCTATGATGTTCGTTTTCATGCCGGCCTTTGTTCCCATGGCCTGCACTGTAGCCATGGTGTGCACTAGACACCCTTGGGGAACTCTGACCAGGTTGGTGGCTTCCCATCAACAGTGATGATGTCCCGCAAGTGTGGGACCAATGAAACTATATCCTTCAACTTTGCAAGACTTCTCTGCTGATGATAATA